AACATTTATTTGCTTCTGAAAATCTGAATTTTCAGAAGAGAAATCCTCCATAACAATGATGAATGAGGATGAGGTTAGTGTGTAAACTAATAGAAATGGAAAGCTACGAATGGACTTGGAGCTTCAATAGCTTCAACAACTTCAATGGACTTGGAGCTTCAACAGCTTCAATAGAAGAAGTAGCAGCTACGAACTTGGAGCTTCAACAGCTTGAGCAACAGATGGACGGGAAGTCTGGATGTGTATTGAGACGTTTGTTTATTTGAATTGGGTATGATGTCTAAAATAGTAATTTCACTTAGGGATAAAATTATAATAAAAATAAATATCATTAAGTGTGAGTATAGAGTAGATTTGGTGTGTGTAAATAGAAGCTCCCATTTTTATGAGATATTTATTAGAGGTAAATTTACCTCATTTGAGATTTCTGACAAATACAGGAACCTCCCCTGTAGTTTCAATACTTACAGTAACTTCTCTTACTTTACCTGACAATGTTAAGATTCTCCCATTCCGTCTATTTTGCACAAATGACGTTAATAGCCTATACAAAATGACCATATTACCTTTATTTTTGCCTGTGAAAAGACAAAAATGCCCTTTGTTCACAAAATCCTTAATCAGCTACATTCACAATACATATTGAATTCTTGAGAGAGAGAAGAGAGAGAGAGAGAGACGATAGTAAGCAACGTGAAGAAGGTTGATCTGTGTGAAGAAGACGAAGAAGCTAAAGAGAGAGAAAGGCAAAAAGAGAGAGAGAAAGAAAAAGACAAAGAGACAGAGGTGTTTTCTCTGTCTCTCTGTATATCAACGTATACACAATCTTCTCATTTAATTTCTATGTAGATTTTCTTTTTTATTTCCTTTTCAATCTTTCCTTTCCTAAATTTTCCTGGAAAATCTGCAATTTTCCTTAATCTTCACACTTTCAGTTTCAGAACCTATCATCCTTAAAAAACCTTACATAATACCGTTGTATATTGTAATTATATATATCTCTATTCTTATTGGAATCACATAATTCACAAACATTTTGAATGTAAACCTTAACAGTTAAGGGTACAGCCAGCTCGCGAATAATGGATCGAACCCTGTCTTGATCATTAACCAAGTAGGAAAAAGCAAGGGAGACGGCCATTTGAGCATTAGGAGAAGCTTATTCTTTCAACAACCTTCAGCAATGGTACAACTCCACCTTCTTCAACCATCACCTTCTTGTTGCGATCGTTGTCTATATTGTTGGCGACGTCGAGGCAATCGTAGAGAAGATGCCCCATTTAGACGGAGACGATGGAGGACTAGAGCATGGCCAGGATGGGGTCGTTGCTGGCGATAGAGAGAAGCCAATTGATGTCAACGATGGATGATTCCAGAAGGCTGGAGACCTTGAGGAAGTCAGCGTTGGTAGTGATGACAAACACCTGTTGAAGAACGCCACTCCACTTGCACTTACAGACTAGGGTTAGGGCTCGTTCTAGGGTTTTGGAGACATCAGCGGCAATGTGGTGGATGGGTTCCTTATAAAAAGACGACTAGGTCGTGGTTGTGGTCATGGTGGTAAAGTGAACAGCGGATCCGAGCTTGAGGGAGGGGAGGCCAGCTTGCTTGGCGAGATCGGCATAGTCAGACTTGAAGGATTCGGCTTCTTTGGCAAATTTGATGAGAAGTGAAAGCTCTTATTGGATTCACTTCTCTTGCAAAGGCATTTTCGTCTTTTCGCAGGCAAAATCAATGTTACTATGGTCATTTTGTATAGGCTACTATCATCGTTTGTACAAAATAACGGAATGGGAAAATCTTGAAATTGTCAAGTAAAGTAGGAGAGGTTACTGTAATTATTGAAATCACAGGAGAGATCCATATATTTGTCAAAAATCTTTGGGGAGATAAGTGTAATTTATCCTATTTATTATTATGGATATTGTTATAGCATTTTCAATCCCTAACTCTTTTCTTTTTTTTATTAAATTTAAATTTAATAAAAAAATATTAAAAATAATTTCTATTTATTTTATAAAATATTTATCAAATTAATGGAGAATTTTTTTTTTACAAATTAAAAATTTATCAAATTGTTCGTCAAATTTAAATTTGATGAAATTTTAAATAAAAAAATGTCGAAGATTTTCTATCCATCAAATTTAATAAAAAGGAAAATTTGGGAGAAGAGAAGCTTTTTTTTTTTTTAATTGATGAATTAGTTTAAATAATTCATATCAAATTAAATTTTTACTCGAGTCTAAAATCAAATTAGATGAAAATAATAATAATAATGAAGAGTCAGTGATGTTTTTAACAAATGCCTTACATGACAAGATAACTTTAAATATATATATATATACATATTATTCTATGCATTTTTATGCACACTGTATAATTTATTTAAGGCGTGGTTTGGATAGTTCAAAAAAAAAAAAATTAAATAGTCAAAAAGTTACTTAAAAAATTAAAAAGTTATCATTATTTATCTAAAAAAAAATATTAAAAAAATAATTTTATACATAATGCTTGTCAAACAACTCTGACAGCAAAGCAGCGAACTGACTTGTGGGAAAAATAGAAGTTATTTAGGTGTACAAATATCACGGTATTATTTGGCTTGTAGGAGCCCATCACGGGTCCCTTTTTAATAATCTGAACCGTGCAATGTGTAGAAATAGTCGAGTACTATACACCTCTAAAACATCACATTTATCAGATATCGGTAACTATATGATCAAATCAAAAATAATTTTATAAAATGGATGGTGTCATAGTTAACGGTTGAAAACAAACTATTCCGATCAGATAGCTATCGATATCCGATTAATGTGGTTTTTTATAAGAATATAGTACTCGATGAGTTCTACATATTAAACGATTTTGATTAGAAAAATGGGATCCGTGGTGGGCCCCCACAAGCCAAACAACACCCCCAATTCAATGGCTAAAAAGTAAGGAATCATCTCCCAAACAACACTCTACCGACGCTGTAGCCTATTGTACAGCCTATTCCATCCAATCTTCTCCAATACACTAATTTATATAATTTTTTAATACACATTTTTTCATAAAAGTCAAAAAGTTAACCCAAATATTCATATTTTTTTCTCAACTTTTTAGTTCAAAAAGATAAAAAGTATACTTATTTAGGACATCCCAAACAACCCCTAAGTTTCTAGTCATGCCAATTAAGGCTTCGTTTGGGAAGTCTTGGTTGGGGCTTTTTTGACTATTTTAGTTACAAAAAAACAAAATAAGCTTTTTAGTCTAATAAGAAAAAATATTACCTCAAACTCATAATCATTACATTCTTTCTCTCACAAAAAAGTCAAAAAAGTCAAAAACCCTTCCCAAACTAGACTTTTTAACCCCAAATTAAAAAAGTTAAAAAGTCAAAAAATCAACCCACTTCCTAAACAAATCCTAAGTTGCATGTTAAAAAAAAAAACTATATGGCAAATTTTAATTTTTGTTGTTCGGCTCGTGCACATGCCAATAGGCACATAAGTCCCTTAGGCCTTTGATTGTTATTGAATATAAGAGTTTGAGAAAGATACGTAATATTTAAAAATAAATATAAAATATAATATATTATAAGATATGAGATAAATTATATATATTGTCGGATCATTTATATTGTGTTTGGTTAAGATAGAATATAAGATGGGATAAGAAGAGAGTAATTATTTTTGATCTTTAGATGAAAGATAAGTTATATCTGACGGTGGAGATATATAATACCATGAGGGAGGTGGTAATATATATCTCCCTTTTGCATCATATACTATCTGGACTCTCCATATCTGGAGCAACCAAACACAGGATATAGGAAGACAAAAAATATGTGAGACCCATCTCATATTATATCTGACCTCACACCTATGTCCCGCCTTTATATCCTATAAATAAACAGGGCCTTATGGTCTATTGATTAACGAGTATCATCACTCAAGCAAAAATACTAAAATAGCTTTGTATACAAATTATCACAGTGTACAAATTGCATAGATTTTTTCATTTTTTCAATAAACAAAAAATTATTTATAATCCCTTATTGTTTACTTTAAGTAGTTTATCTCCCAAAATTTTAAAATCCGTACAAAATCCCTTAGGCCTGTTTGATTCTTGAATATGAAGGTTAGTTTGAATTATATACTGTGAGCCCTATATATCATGTGTTTATAATTTTTTTTGGAAGAGGATATAATATTGTAACAACCTCACCACGTATAATGATTAACACTTAGTTAATTAAGGAGATTCGGATTTTAATTAGTCATTATGAGAAGTATCAAGAATTATGAGATTTAGAATCTATGAGAATTATTGGGCCTAGTTGGCATATGGTTTTGTCAAGTATTTATTTTGAAAGTCTAATGGCTAAAGAAGATAAAATGAATGAGCTTAATTAAATATTCGATTCAGTTTAGTAAAATTAGGATTTAATTAATTGGGTCCGAATTGAAGTTAATTAAATTAATTAAATTATGAGAATTGAGGATTATGATCATTACGAATTAAATTTATTTATATGGTATCCAATTTGAATAAGTAATTTATTGACGGAAATTTAAAGTCTGATTAGGAATTGAAAGCCTAAATAGTTTGAGAAATCAAAATTGATGATGACAATGGGTCTAATTTAATATTTGGAGCCTTTTGAGAGTTTGATTAAAAATCTGATTCAGATTAATAAATTTAAATATAATTAATTGGAATCTAAAAGAAGTCAAATTAGACTAATTAAATTAAGTGAGATTTATACTTAATCATGATTAATTGGGTTAGAATTTTTACATAACTAATTAAAAATTTATAGATGGTTAATTAAGCTAGATGTAATCAAAGTTCAATCTCAATTAAGTATTTTGGGCAAGATTAATTAGTTAAAGAATTAATTAATACACCACATGGGTGTATATAATAAGGCCAAGTGTCCCACTACATGAAAAGAATAAAATAATAATAGATGAAATCAAGAAGAGTTAGAGCCTTAAAGCTATCATCAATCTGCTCGGCTGGAAAGAAAAGAATCCGAGCGAGAGAGAGAGAGAGAGAGAGAGATATGAAGCCTATTCAATGTTTTGGCCGGAAGGAATTTGATGGAAAGCTAGGGATTAAAGATAAAGAAAGATCTTGAAGACTAATACGTATGGAATTCTAATCCAATGTTTATCGGCAATCTCTTTAACACCTAAATTTATGAGGTAATTGAGTTTAAATACATAATATGAGGGAATCAAGGAAAAGAATGAAGAAAATTAAGTTAAGTTCAAGAATTAAGGAATTGATTTAGAAACTCATCTTTGAGTATGATTTTTAGTCACCTTTGATGAATTTGAGTTCTAATTTCACATGCATCATTATTTTCCAAGGGTTTTGGTGCTTCAATTTCATACAATTAGAACAAAATTAGCAAGAAGATGATGAAAATTAAATTAGATTCATAATTATGAAAATTAATTTAGAAATCAATTATGTTGAGTTTGATTTTTGTACTCTTGCATGAATTTGAGTTCCATTTCTACATGCATGAACAAATTTTGTAAGTTTTAAACTCTAATTGTACATGCATCATGGATTTTGAAGAATTTGAACTAATTCAATCTCATATTTTGAAGAGAAAAAGGAAAAGCTTTGAAAATTAGGAATTTGTATGATTTTGATCTTTAATCCATCCATGTAATTTAATTTAAAAGTTTTATTCAATTTAAACACATTTTAGAACATCTATGATTACGAATTAAGTTTTTGGTTAAAAGTTGAGTTAAGTGGAATTTCTAAGAAATTTATTTGTGTAATTCATAGTTAAGTGATTTTTGTTAATAATAAAATTGGGTTCTATTTTTCCATGCATCATGAAATTTCAAGAGTTTGGAAAGTCTAATTCATGTTTTAAAATTGTGGGTTTGATATAAAGAAAATGAGTTAAATCTAAATTTGGGCAATTGAAGCATGATTTTGAATAAATGATTTCTAAATGTGAGTGTTTACTAAATTATACAATGGTTCTCCATATTTGTGTACCCAAAAATACAAGTTTTGAGGCTTTGAATATCAAATTTGAACTTCAATTACAATTCTGAAAATTCCAGAATTTACACTGTTCGCTTGAGCGAGGAAAGTTTCGCTCGAGCGTGAAAATCGAGCTCCCAAAAGTTTTGTAAAATTTTACAGTCCGTCCGAGCGACCAAAGTGGTGCTTGAGCGAAGATCCTATTTTTAGCATATTTTGAAAAATTGCATTTAGTTCACATTTTTATTCTCATCTCTTTCCAAAGCATTCTAGACATGATTTATGGCTCAATAAAGATTAATAAGCTAACAATCAACATTAATTAGTTGATTGAAAGAATAAGTCATTAACTTAGTAATACCTGACTAAGAAGCCAAGTAAGAATTGGTTTTTTCAGAAAAGAATGATTTAGTAACGAAAAGATATATGAAATAAGAATCCGATTCATTTGAATAAAGGAAGAATACACGTAGTAGAATCTCGAACTACTTAGACAGAAAAAGACAAGAAAAGTCAAGCTTGATCAAGGAATTGATATTGTGTTTCGATGTGTATATGTTATGGGTTTGTGTAGGTCACGCGCTATTGTTCTCCTGATCTATCTGAATTGTCTGCATTATCTGATCTGCTAGTGGAGCCATCTGTGAGTAACGATGTTGTAAAGCTATGTTAAATTATAATTACTTTCTGAATGATTAACTGTATTGTTTTCTGAAATGATATTGTTCACTGAATGAATGTTTGTCCTATTTTATGACCTATACTCGTGGCATCCATAGCAACTGACTGTTACTGCTACTGCTACTGTTACAGAGATCTCTATCAGTTCCTATCATTGGAACTATTGTTACTGTATTGATGGCCATCAACTGACTGCTCGGTCTATTAAGACCTACTGTACTGTTTTGCTATTAGATGTACCGCGTATGACTGCTATGATCTCTAAATGACTGATATGACATGAAATATGAGACACTGATTGAATGATTGATCTACAGATGCAATTGATTGTTTTAATTACTGAAAGAACATTCATTCTTAACCCCTTTACACATTCGTTTTCCACTGGACTCTAGCTCACAGTTTATTGTATATATGTAGGTGGTCAGGCGCCGGAGCAAAGTTAGCTGCGTCAGTCTAAATTCGTTTTGTCAAGCCAACCTACTGTGCCTCACCACGAGATTCCAAACCGTTATTGTCAAGGCTTTGTTTGGGGTGGTCTAAATCCACTTCAAGTGAATGTTTCCTAAGTTGTTTTGGCTTTGGGATTTAATTTCCCAACATGTCTTTTATTTTGTACTTAGACGTGTTTTGGACTTCAGTTTTTACATATATACTGAATATAGACTGGGACTTATGTCTGTATTGGTATATGTATATATAAGTTGTTTGTGCATTTAAGTCCTCACAGCTCTTTGGACATCATATTTTAATATTTACAAGCTTCCGCCGGCCCCTCCTATTGTATAATTGTTATTACTGTTAAGCAGGCCTTTGGTAATCATGGACTACTGGCCGGTTACGATGCTAAACCCTTAGAAGCAGGTTTGGATCGTAACAAATGTACAACTGGATTGTATATCCTTTAAACAAAAATTCTTGATACCTCGACACTTCGAGTCTCGAATGCCTTAAATCTCAACCAACGCGTGGGCTTCTTCTCTCTCTTTCTTGTATTCAAAACCCATTAACAGTTGCAGAGATAGAGACAGACCTCAGATTCACCAAGAAAAAAAAAAACAAAAACAAAAACAAAATAGCAAAACTATTTTGAAGAACAAAGAAAGAGTTAGGCTGGTCTGATTTGTTGGTTTAATGATAAAATGGTGTGACGGGTACAAAATGAAATGGTTTGAATAATGAGTATTTTATGATGAGTGTGGTGTGGGTGATGATTAATTGGTTGCAGATTACCACACAGAGCAAATTTGTTCAAAAGATTGAAAAGGAAAGGTGGGATCACAATTTAGAAAGAGATACTGTGTGTAGTTGTGATGGAAACTACCATGAAAAAAAAATAAAAATAAATGGATACATACATACATACATATATATATAGAATCTTTAAAAGTGTGTTTTTGACACATTGTTATTGATTCATCTTTGCTTGTATTGTGAGAAAAAAGAAGAGAACAAAGGACTTGAAAAGGAATGGAATCTTTAATGTTGTTGTTTTGTTCAGCTTGAAACCTTTCTTTTTCTTTTTGATTTGTTTTCTCTTTCAGTTTCTAGGCATGTGAAATTTATAGGTTTGGTGCAAGTGGCCGACGCATGCAAGAAAGGACCGCTAGGTCATTTGAGCCATTCGCAGCAGACCTCATTCGAGGCTTGTAGCAGAATTGATCCCTCAAAATGGGTGGATATACAATACTCACTCCCCCTATTATATCATGTCCCATCAGATGGGATAAGAATTAAAAATACAATTTTACCCTTCTATAATGGGAAATCCGATTATGTTCATATATGAACTTTACAATAAGAAATTTGATTATGTATATGAAAAATCTGATTATATTTGACCAAAAAAATTATGTTCATGAATTTTATTTTTAAATTTTTACAGTTGAATTTTTTACATATATAAACAAAAACGTTATTTCCTTTTTGAGATTCAAAGTTTTAATTTAATTTTTTTAAATTTTAAATATAAAAAAATATATTTATAATTATTCTAATTTAAAAGGTTTTGAATTTTCAAAGTTTTAATTCAAAAAATATTTACCAATTTAAGAATTAAATAAATAAGTGGGCCAAATAAACTACGATATGTATTTTATTTTATTTTTTTAATTCTGCCAATTAAACTATGATATGTATTTTTTATTTGTAAGAATTTAGAATATGCAATTAAATTTAGAAAAATAATTTAAAAAATGTTAAAACTTAATTTATTCTAAATTATTTTTCTTAAATATTTTAAACAAATTTATATTATTATTTAATTTTTGATTATGTTATTACTTAATTGATTATTATTATTTAATACACACACACATTTAATATACATATAAATATAAATATATTTATATATATTTATCAACAATGATACATCCCTAAAAAACTAGAGTTCTAATTGAGCTCCAGTGAGGTGGAGAGTAAAAGAAAAAAAAAAGAGCCAAAACATCACATCAAATGGGCTCCACGTGCACATTAGAGCTCACAAATTAGAATTTCAAAATATTTTTGTATATGTATTGGCAAATGATTGGATATAATGGACATACATATATATTACCTGTTGATAGGTATAGGGACAAAATAGACATTAATGTATGTTTGTTGCTTATATCCCATAATTCTTTTTGTAAAACAAACATGAATAAGAAATATTCAGTATTATATCCTGAACTCAACAAATATTAGCACGAGATATGTTAGGGAGCTTCTATTTCCATACACTACTTCCTCTTTTTCAACACATTTAATGATTTTTTTAATTACATTTTTGTCCTAAAATTAAATTATCAAAATATCCCTTTCCCAAACCTCTAACTCTAACTCTCTCAAACCATCAGTTTCCACCATCACCATCCATGGCCGCCACCTCTCCCCTCTTTCACTCTTCCCATCGCCTCTTCCCTACCACTATGACCCTCCTTTGCTTGAGAAAAAGATTGGCACACCACTGCGATCTCTCTCCGCCTTCATTGCCCACCATCGCGATCTTCCTTCATCTTCGTCTCTCCCTGCCACCAAGCAAATCTTCGCCGCCTCCACTTTCTGCCCCCTTCGCAACTGTGAGAGAGAAAAGAGAGAGAGGGATCAATCTCAAGGGAAGAGGGTTGAGGTCACGATGGTGGCGCCAATAACAGCCCTATTTCGCGATTAGAAGAGAGAGAGGAAATCAGAGATCGATTTCGGCGATGGAGGTCACAGAAGTGGCGCTGACGGGTGGAGGGAGAAGTGGGGTAACGACTGGAAATGAAAGGGGCAAGAAGAGGTGTTGCCGCCGGCGGTAACAACGGTGTGGTATGGTAAGATGTGTATTGAGTGAAAGTTCATAATTTAAATTTATTTAGTGTGTGTATTGAGAAAATATGTGGAAAGAAAGGAAGTAATGTATGGAAATAGAATTTCCCCAATTTATATATATCCTATTCATTGCATATATTGAGTAAATCCCAAAGCATATTATATCTTTCATTTTATATTCGGACAATCAAACAAGGCCTATGTCCTAACAAATATTTTACACTTATGATTACCTTTGGCAGAATGCATGATGATGCATTTTAATCCATAAATTATAAGAAGATTATGTGATTATTTTTAAATGATAGGATATAATCAATATGTGGACAAAATTACGAAGGAATAAAATAAAATATATACAAAATTCTATTATTATTCATCTATAATAAAAAAAGGGGGTAATATGAAATTTATCCAAAATTCTATTCACTTTATTTGGTTTTGATTGATTTTTTAAAAATTGAATTTTTTATTTTTATTTTTAGTAAATTTTTTTAATATTTTAAGTAAATTTCTTACTTCTTAGATGCACTTTAAAAATAAAATATTTGTGAAAAATATTTTAAAAATTCAATAAATACACAAGAATTAATACGAAAATGTATTGAATTTATATATATATATTTTTTTGTATTTGATAAATTGTTTTTTTAAAAAAAATTCCATAAATATTATACTTTTAATGTATATCTAAGTTAAGTGCATCTATTTTTTTATTTTTTTAAATCTTAAATGTTAAATTTTTTAGAGATTTATTAGGAAATCATTTTCAAGTACGTGTATCCCAATTAGGGGGTGTTTGATAATATGATTCAGCACTTAAAACTGAATATATTAAGTGATAATTGATTAAGTCTATTTGATAACTACAATTGATATCATTTAAAAATTTAAGTGCATCTTAAAATGTAGATTGAAACTTAAGAAAATTTTAAATCATACTTACTTAATTCTGACTGAATTTATAAATATTAAATATAAGTACTAGTATACACTATTATAAACTCACAACCACTACCACTATCATGCCATCACCGCCACCACTACCACCGTCACGACGATCACTATCGCTACCGCTACCGCCACCACAATCATTACCACTGCTGCCAACACCACCACCATCATACCATCACCACCACCACCACCACCATCACTGCCACTACCACTACCACTACCACTACCATCACAATATAAAAATTAAAATATATAATTTGAAAATAATAAATTTCAAATTTAATCTTATACATATCAAACAATATATTTTTAGTTTAGCACTCAAATTTTTATCAAACAGCTTTTTAACTTAATAAATTCAGCATTCAGTTTTCAATATTTCATTTTTAATTTTCATTTTCAATTTTCAAATTTATCAAACGGCATCTTAGTCCATAAAATATTTTTGTATTTCAATAAGTCGTATATTTGGACATTTGATCCATCAAATTCTAATTCTCATATTTAAGGTATTTTATGGATAATTTTACCTTTACAAATATTTTTTGAACGCTTAGCAATTTGATGATGTGAACATTTATATTTTACAGTGTGAATGTTCACATTGACGATTGAATATTCACGTCACAGAATATTCATATTATTAATGTGAATATTATTATTAGGCGTATTTTGATAATTATGTCACTTATAAGACTTACTGGAATATAAGAAAATAATTTGAACTAAGTGAAACATAAATAAATGAAGAGAGATTTATGAATAAATGCCTCTAAATTTTCTGACTAAAAATAGAAAATACAAAAAATAAAAACTCAATTTTTTAAAACTAAACAATGTGATTATTATTCCAAGGACAATTAGGCATTGATGTTTTATTATTGGCTTCTTTCTATCATATTACCTTTCTATTTTTTTATACATATTTTTTATAATAAATAATAAAATCAAAAAATAAATCATACCCAAAATAATTTTCTATTTTTTTTTTTATATGGTTGAGGGTCTAAAGCAGCCACAAAGAGGGGGAAAAAAACACTTAAATATACTCTACAATCCAATTTAGACAAATGGCATACTAAAGACATGCAATGCTCTCAAATTTCCTTATATGAAAGGGATTTCTGCATAATATTAAATTTTATTTTGTCTTCTCTTATTTTGATGAGTGTTCGTACAAGAGGCTTATTGCCGATGCTTACATCATTTAATTGTTGGAAAACGACTTTTTGTATAATTTTATTTTTTTGGTTCACTTTGAGTATTAATTAAGGTGAGATCAAGCGTTATTTTTAACGTTTCTAATTTAATTCATATTTAATGTCACGTAGTGAATAAAACCGTATATTTGATTGCCCAAAATCATTTCTAGATAAATGAAAATTCAATACACGTTTTTAGGTTCGTGGAATGGTTTTAGATGAGTTTCTTATTCATTTGTGAAATGTGCTTGTCTTACATTGAAAAGACTTAAGGTTTTAAATGGATTTATATACCTTAACTTGAGATACTTGGGATGGGCCCTGACATGGGTAAGCCCAT